TGCCATGAAGAGGTCCCGGGTTCGATTACCGGACCGGGAGAAATATTTGTATATTTGTATTGCTTACATTTATTTCTCGCGTGAGTTTGGGTGTAATTTGAGGTTGTCTATGTGTGTGTCCATGGCACCCGCGACACAGGGTTTCCCTAGTGCGGGGCTATATTGAGTGTGTGTGCGTTATATTTATTTAAGAGAAAGGACGTGTGCGTCGAAAACCTCAATCCTCAATTTGTTAACGTCACTTATTTTAACTGCTTAAAAGCATTAGATATATATACAAATACAGGCCCTTTTGGGGTAAGTGTCAACTTTATGTTAATCCGTTGTAAGGGAGTGTTTTATGCTATTCTACCTGTTTTTTATGTCATTGTATATTTGTTACAAATTTTCTGTTCCCCTTTTACTCCTTCCTTTAATAAATTTTATGTGAACTGAGCCTTCACTCTTCAGCCACACTCGGCAGCGAGAGGTCCTGCCCTACAGTCCCCGTCAGAGTGCGGCGCTGCTCATCCCACCGGCTGCACACCTCTAGGGTGTGCTGTGCGGTGTCATCCGCAGCGCCGCACTCGTGGCACGATGGGGACGGTTCCCTCCGCGCCACCTTGCGTAGGTAGTGACCGAAGCAGCCGTGCCCGGTCACACTAACCTAACCTACTAATAGAGAGCAACCAAGCAACCAAGATTTATAAAGAGAACAAATAAAAAGATATACTTGTTATAAATGTCATCAATTGTTAATAGAGAAGACTTATAATAAAATAATCTCAGTACAGAGTACTAAAAAAACCGACCTCAAAAGTACGTGGAATTACGTCTATTTGCTAAGTTAGTTCGCCACTATACAGGACTTGACACTGGAGATAATAAAAATACGTGCTCACTACGACACTACTCAAAGTATATTGAGAGAAAAACGCCTTGACTTGGAGAAATAGCAAAATCAACCATTAAAGAAATTGTTCCTAAATTAAAATTAGGCGCTATTTATAAAAATGAATCTTCATGCGTGAACAGCCACCCTTCGAGGTGGATGATTTTCTTCAAAATGAAATGGGACCACTATGGAAGTGGGTACATGATTCTTTTTTTGTTGGAAAGGGGGTCCTTTCCAACAAAAAAAGAATCATGAAAATCGGTTCACAAATACCGGAGTTATCGCGTAACATACATACAAAAAAAAGAAAAAAGAACATACAGTCGAAATAACAACCCCCTTTTTTTTGAAGTCGTTTAAAAAGAGGATCAAATATTATTTTTGACATCTAACATTAATTTAGTATGTTTAAACATAATGATAATGTTACCATAAATGCAGTTAATGAATAATTTATCCGTAGATCAATTAATATAGATGGAACAATTAACATTAATCATAAAAAATATCGTTTATTAAAAAAAAACTGCACATTTACAATAGATAAATAATTATCAAATAATGTTATCCCATAATAAAACCAAATAACAATAAATACGCACACACTCGTATACTTCACGCCTTTTTGACATCGGGGAAGGCAAAAACCTTAGCTTCTTATTAGGTATGTTACCGATACACATCTTTCGCTTAACAAGGGCATTCTTGACCTGGTCTTTCTTAAGGACGTCCTTAATTTGGTCATAGTAAGTGCGCCTTAGTCGGCTCTTATCAACTTCCCTGCTCACACTCGCCTCATAACTCCGTCAATCCCTTTTGTTTCTCTCCTAAATGAAAAGTTACGACATAAAATCAAAAATGTACTTTTATTTATTTATTTGTTTATTATTGTATGCAAAACAAGACCAGATAACAATCATATTACCTTAAAAGTTAAATATGATATTACAAAGTCCTGTACCAGATTGTAATCATAGAGTCGTATTCCAGAACTCTACTCAATGCTTAAGTCAGGATTGCACTGGAAACACAAGCATTGGAAATACGACCCTAATGGCATGACTTGAGTATGATTTCGAGTGCTTTAAACCATACTCAAATCCTGACTTGCGCATTGAGTAGAGTTCTAGAATACGACCCTTAGTTATGTTGACACATTATTGTAATGTTATGGACAGGCGTTTAGCTTAACATCAGACACACGACTCGTTCGTCCCGTCACTTGATATTATCAAAAAAAAGTAACAAGAAACATCTACTGTTCACAATTTGATAATAATTTAGTACTTAACTAATATACTTATTTACTAAATAAAAAAGAGACATAGGTTTAGGTGAATACCCTTGTAAGTACTAGGCGAGATCTTGAATCAAAAATATATAAACCAGAGTTTTTCATAGATATCTTGTTTTAAAGCCGACAGATTCTTATGAGGGGATTATAAAAGTAAGTGTTATTCTTTTTTGTTCGCAAGTAAAATGTCTTGCTAGGTATTGGAGATAACGCCTTGCGCAAATATTTATTTTACTTAAAAAGTAAGAAGAGTCAATCTCGTCATGAAGAATCTAATATTAGAATACTAAAAATATTCATGAGTTTATACAATAGCACTAAATCAGAGTAAACGATAAACATATTCATAACAACAATTACATATATAACACAAACCAATAACTGCAAAGTAAAAGTCAAGTTAAATAGTCTTTATTTCATAGGTAAGTAACTTATAACTGAAACTGAAACATATTTCGAATATTATAAGATCGTATAAGAAGTAAGTAGTATTACTTCTGCAAGAGCTAAACGGGTTAATATCATGGAGTTTAGCCATCAAAGTAGGTACGCAAAAGCTGTAAATAACCTTTTAGCGTGTTATCACACTGGCAATTTGAAAGCGATGCGACAGCATGACGTGCACGCTCTCAAATCGCCAAACGACCGCAGCGATGACGCTGCGTGCTCGTGGCGGGCACGCCACGCTGTCGCATGGCTTTGAATTCACTCGCATTTCGCTAGTATGATAAGACTCTTAGGATAAAGTTCTTAAACAAAGAAGTGTAACACACTTATACACAATAGTGAAACTATAGTTTTCAAACTTCGTGTATGGCAAAGTTTGCACGTTGGCGCGTTTGCATCGATGCAGTCCCACGTTTGCATCGTTGCAATCGCCTATAAATCGCAAGTATAGCGATGCAATCGCGCGTTTACATCACTACTTAATGTCACCGCTTTTAGATCCGAAAAAAATAGTTTCGCGAAAACCTGAGAACTCGAAATGAAACTATTATTCCGAAACGCGTATGTTTGTGTTATTTTTTATAAAAACGGTTTCGGACTCTTTACATGTCCCATGGTCACAGCTGACTGTTAAGGTCAAGTCATTAACCAATTACGTCTACCATTAATGCTAAAGCTGTGGTAGCCTAGTAGTGTAACCTATCGCCTATCAAGCAATGGGCGTGGGTTCCACCCAGGGCTTGTTTGTTTGACCTCTGTGTTTTTCGGAATTTATGCGCGAAATTTAGTATGAGCTTTTCGGTGAAGGAATACATTGTGTGGAAACCCGCACATATCTGCAAAGCAATTTAATTACTTATTTAATATATACCTAATACTGATACAATGACATATACATCAAACAGTATTTTACAGATATATGTATACATATAAGTACGCAGACGGTAAGCATTTATTACGTAATTTATTAAATATGTACACATTTAATTTTAAACATTTAAAGTTTTCACAAAATGTTCCCTTATATTTTATTTTATGTTCTTGACATTAATTGCCTGCTTAATTTGTTTAGGCAAATTATTAATCAGTGATTGTACTTTAACATTTAATTTATTTTTACCGTAGAAATTATTAAGAATTATATGTATAAAGTTCTCAATCCGCATCGGGCCCGCGTGGGAACTACAGGCCAAGCCCTCCCATTGCCAGAGCACGCCTATGTCCAGCTGTAGGACTATATAAGCTAACTTATTATACTCTAATTATTCTTTTCTCCTATTCTTACCTGATTAAAATTTTGAGTATTATTATTTATACAATCCTACTTCAGTCTATATATATATATATATATATATATATATATATATATATTTCGTTTTTTTTTTGTCATTTGTGTATATGCAGTATGTGTATTAAATACGTATTCTGTTGCGCCCTCAATTAACTTTATCTTAGATACTTTTTCCTTCTACCCAGGTTGCCTGATTTGATTTGATTTAATTGCCATTTAGGAAATAAGGTCACCTGTTGTACCTGTAATTTTTTGTATTATTGTATATTTGTCCCAGTATGCAATAAAGAATATTTATCTTACATACATATCATGAACTCTCTATAATGTGTTCGAAGACCTCAAATTACGACCAGCATAACGGTAAACTGTTTCGTTAGAACAAATTTCTTATCTGGGAAATTCTATTATTGCTTCATAATAATATCGAATTCGATGTTATTATTACATTCAAATTTGGAACATCTCTGAAAAACAAAACAATTTGATTGGACCTCAATTCTAATATCAGTCGAGATGAAGTTTTATTCGAAATGAAATGTCAATTGCAAACAATATTGACAATTTCACACGTTACTTGATATCGAACGACTATCATAATAGTTGGGGCCGATTCTAGTTTGTCTATGAATTAAAAATAAAAAGTACAGTTTTGTAACATGCGTGAGAAAAGTTTATTTGCCGCGGATTCGCTCTGGGCATTTTGGACGGAAAAGTGTCGTTTTTATTTTGTCTTTCAATTATTTTTTGAAACTAGTTTAAAGTGGAATAGGATAGTGCTATTATACCTTAATCGAAGATTAAAACGCGAAATTATACGAATCTCGAACTTAAAGTACCCGTATCAGCCAGTTCTAAGGAATCCCGAGTCAATCCAAACATGCCGCCTCAAATTGCCTATCCTCTTTGGCTTTGCCAAAGCCTTAATAAAAAAAAAATAAAAAAAAAATATTTGCCGCCATTTCGCCAGCCGTAACATGCGGTTCCTGAATACATCACAGAGAATATGATATGTGTGTAGATAAAGCAGTGTATGTAACTGTACATAATTAGGCGTGTAGCATGTTATTATTATGAGTTTTTTTTTGTTTCAGAATATATCAATACTGGTGGTACTGTTATATAGTTGGAGGATCAGCGTCAATGCGAAGAGGTACAAAGAGCTCGACGATGTTTATTATGGTGAGTCCGTATTTATTTATTGAAAGATACACCATCAACTTAACTCGAAACAATCTTAGAAATAAATATACATACGTTCACCATACAAGGTGCCAAGCTTAGAATAATAACGCATAGAAACCTAGTCCGCTCACGCTAAGTGAGGCAAATTGAAGCGCGCCCAATGGGCCTACACGAGCGGGCGGGCTTTCAATGCTCAAGGTCAACTTGAACCGCGAACAGCTCAAAATGTGCGGTAAATGAGTGTAAAAATGCGTCAGACAAACATAAAATAGATACTAAAATCACATTCCACAAGGAAGTAACGCGTTTCAACTTGTATTTTTATATAAATATTCACTAAAACCGAAAATTAACCTACTACTAAAAACTAGCCTACATGAATTTGATTTTTGCCTGACTTGTGACAGTTCGTTTGATATGAAACTATCATTCTATGCATTATTATTCTAAGGTGCCAAGTCGCTACAGGTGTATACAGCACTAAAAATTTAGTTACCCAATGTGATAAGGAAAATAGTCTAAAATAAAAAAAACAATTAAAAATGTAAAATTTTAGCAATAATTGATTACAAAGGATTTAAAGATGAAACAATTGCTTGCACATGCCAATAAGCTGTTTAGTGTTCCCTACATAAAAGATGTCTGTCGCCGTCTCCGGTCACAGTCCAGTCATTTTATAACTGTATGAGTCTGTTCAAGGGGGCATACCTTCCGAGATTAATAAATGGTTTGGCAATGGCGACCCTACGCACTCTACGAGGAAGGTTTAAGTTGATGAAGGCCAGTGCCTTTAGCGACGATGTACCTCCATGCACCATCCTGTGCAGAGTTCCAATATCAGCGACACGACGTCTGGTTTCAAGAGAACACAGTCTGAAATATTTTAACCGAGCGTTATATTCAGTGTTCCTTTGAAATAAGCACTCCCCTGGGACTTGAATTCCAGGTAGCAAAGGAAAACAACCATTTGGACAGCGCACTCAGCATACATTTTGGAGCGTTCTTATCATAAGTATAGAATAGGACAAAGTTATGAAAGAGTCCGTCCTGGGACTTCGCAAAACCACTTTACTTATTCTGCCGCCGAGTAGTTATGTGAGCATTACTGCGTTCCGGTTTTGAAGGGTAACGGTGAAATTATATGCTCATGGGACATCTTCACTTTATGTCCCAGGGTGGCGGAATCTTTGCAATTGAAGGCTCTGAGTGGCACTGCAGTTGACTGGTGTGACTGGACGAACAAGTCGTCAACCTAGTGGTAATCGGCACGCACAGGCGTCAGTAGTCACTTAGAGCTTTAAATCGCAAAGTTCTGAGGGGCACTACTGCGCTAAAACTGAAACTGGGCTGGACTAAAATGTGGAACGGAGTTAATACTCACTGAGCTGGGTCAACAACATCAGTATCAGCAGTTGTGGCATTAAATGTCTCATCCATCCTTTACATTTAATGAAATACCCAAAATAATTGTGTACGTGACATATTTATTTCATTATTTATTTTCATGTTTTGGACAAACAAGGAAAAGGTTTTGTACTGAGCGCTTTTCCTATGTATGGAACTAACGGGAATAAATATACAACATTAAAGTTTATTCCCACTAGTTCCATGCATGGAACTTATGAGTTTCAATTGTTTCGTGTGGAAATGATTCCATTGCACTATTGGGAACAAACCAGTTTCAGTAGAACTAAAAAATTATCTTTACTCTAATGAGGAACTACTAAATATAGAATTTTTTACCCCGCACTGTTTCTATACTAATAACAATAACGCACACACTCAATATAGCCCTGCACTAGGGAAACCCTGTACCATGGACACACAAATAGACAACTACAAATTACACCCAAACTCACGAGAGAAATAAATGTAGGCCGTACAAATATTTCTCCCGGTCCGGGAATCGAACCTGGGACCTCTGCGTGGCAGCATGGTGAGCGTTCGGCCACAGAGGCAGTCTGATAGTAACTTAAGATGTAATTAATATGATAAACTAATTTGTCACACACCAAATTTTGTGCCATTTAGTAAAAAAACTCACTCGTCGTCGTCGTCACTTTCTATTCATTCGATGTTTGTATGAATAATAATAACAAACTAGTAGAGTTTGCGTCTGTGGCCGAACGGTTACCATGCTGGTTTGCCACGCAGAGGTTTCGGGTTCGATTCCCGGGCCGGGTGATATATTTGTATGGCCTACATTTATTTATCCCTCAACGACATCATCCGCCGGGCCTTAGCCACTGTTAACGTGACCGCCATTTGCGAGCCAAGCGGCATGTCGCGATCAGATAGCAAACGCCCGGACGGAATTACTCTCATCCTTTGGAGTATGGGCCGGGCACTGGTGTGGGACGCCACATGTGCCGACACACTTGCCCCATCCCATCTCCAGCACACCAGCAAGATGGCTGGCTCCGCAGCTGAGCTGGCGGAAAGAATAAAAGCAATAAGTACCAGGATCTCGGCTCCGACTACCTATTTACAGCCTTTGGAGTCGAAATCCTTGGCTCGTGAGGCCCCATGGCCTTCATCTATACAAAATTTTATCGAAAAAATTAATACACTGTCTGTGAAACCCAAGGGCCGGCAGCTACCTTGCCCAACGCATTAGCATAGCAATACAAAGGGGGAACGTTGCCAGCATCTTGGGCACTTTGCCACGGGGACCCAATTTTATTCATATAATTAAATAACCCTAGTTTTACTTTCTAGTAGTTAAGCATTTGTTGTCTTTTTTACCTTACCTGTATATTGTCTTAATTCAACAATTACTTTATCTCGTGAGTTTGGGTGTAATTTGTGGTTGTCAATGGCACCCGCGACACAAGGTTTTCCCTAGTGCGGGGCTAACAGTGTGTGCGTAGTATTTATTTGGTCTGTGGTGTGCGTTAAAAAAAAGAGTATTATTACAAAACATATATGAATATGATGGTGGTAAAAAACATCACGATCCTCAATGAAATAAATATTAAAAAAATTAAGTTTTCGTGGACAACAGTCTTTATTAACTATTTTCCTATAACCTTTCTGAAGTACGTGTGTTGGTTGAGAAATTTACGAAAGATACTCGTAAAGTGTTCTAGGACGGGCACATCCAGCGCGCGCTAATCGGCCGAAGTTCGATCCTAATCAAACTCAATGATAGGAGACACAACCTAGAATAGAATGCAGTCGGGGTTTGTCTGTTAAATTGTATATTTTTCAAATTACACACGCTGAAATACTAGAAAATTTCCTAACGGAAGTCCCAATGCTGCCTTCGGTATTAAAAAGATAGAGCCACAACAAATTTGCTTTAATGCGTATTAAAAACTGTATATGTCGATATTTGGATAAAATAATATAATATAGAGTATACTCGAAAATTAAAACTACTTGTTACTCAATAACTCCTCTCGCAGATAAGCGTATCAAATAGTACACACACACAAACACACACAGAGCCAGACACACATATTTAGTAAATATTTTATTTATTGCAGATCATTTGCAGATACATAAACTGCCGGAAATAAATAAATGTAACTAATCATTGAGAGACGACACTGATTTTTGATGATTTTTTTTTTTAGTTAATATGTCTGAGTTTCACGGTGGTTTCCTATTTAAAAAGATACTGATTTCCGTAACACGGGCCATTGAAACTAGATCGGAAGAACTTTTTAATTCAAATAAAGAATAATTATGACTGTTATTAAATATAAAAAAATATTGTATAATATTTTATATAATGCATAAAATATAAAAAAAACCGAATCATAAAACCGTTTAACAACATTTTGGAAATGTTCAATTAAAATTAATTTACAATTTATGATAATTGGTGCAAACAGTACTTTTTAATTTGTTGGTTTGTAATAAACTGACCTTTGAAATATCAAAAGTATCTACAGACTCAGCATTAAAAAATCCGCAAACATTTTTACTATTTTATTAGGTATTTATTATTGTATATGAAATCAACACACGAACAAGAGCATTATCAAAGAGAGAACACTTAGAAAAAATCCTACTATCCGGCTGAATTCGAACCAACGTCTACTAGCAAACCGTGCCAGATGCTATACCAACTAAGCCACGGAACGTACCACGGACCTTACGAATATTTCTATGTGCTTGTTGCAGACTTTAGCCATAGTGCCATCGGTGAGAAATCTACTTCTTGACTCAGCCAGGTACCTTTCCAGCTACCAGCAACTGGCTAGATATGTCAAAGTCAAAGTCAAAGATTATTTATTCCATAGGTAAAATAAATTTACACTTGAAAACATCACATTTAAGCTACTGCTCGTTCACTACACTGACCTCCTTGAGAAGAACGAGCAAGAAAGTCTAGGGATTGCTCTTTTGAAATAAATATAAATGCTATGGAATACACTTTGAATCAAATTTGTGTGAATTCTGGAGCCGTGTCGACTTTCCATACATCTTTGTCTATATTATAACATGTATTGAATACACGTAGTATTCAATTTTGTAATATGATTTTTCGATCAAAATATTTTTAATGTAGTTTTTAAACTTAGGAAATAATAAACTTAATATATGCTCCGGAATCTTATTGTAAAAACGTATACAGTTCCCCAGAAAAGAGTTGTTTACCTTGGTTAAACGAAATCGTGGTACCATGAGTTTGGACTTAGCTCTAAGGTTAATATTACGGATATCTTCTTTCTTGAAATTATGCATGTTTTTATTTTTTTTGTCGCTAATAAAATTGTAATTTGAGCTTTCAGATCGTATTTTCCCTGACTAAAGTGTAATAGCGGCCATCTGTTGACCTGTTCGAATATTGTTACAATCGCATCCAGGATTTGCTTGGCACTATCTATTGATCCGCGTTAAGAATCAAACTAATTTCCGAAAGTAATTAATAGATTCAGGCATTGACTTACAATTATATGGACGTCGGGTCCTAAAATAAAAGTGTCCGAACTTATAGGGCGTTAAAATCGTATACAGAGCGTCATTCACGCTTTAGTCTTCATTTG